GTTAACACTATAAAAAGCTTTTAATTTTTTTTAACTTTAAAAAACTTTATAATTTTAAACTGACTGTTAACAATATCAACTTAAATGATTACGGGCAAATCCGATTTTAATTATAGCGTGTTAACAAAAAGGTTATTAAGAATAAAACCTTTTTTAAAACTTTTTTTATTTTTTTTTCCTTTATAAAATTATTTAAAATCTAATATATATATTTTCAGTATTCTTAGCTTCTTATTAAATGTTCTTAGCTTCTTATTAAATCCAGCTTCTTATTAAATGTTTCACTATATTTTGTTCAATAAATATGCGGAGAACTACCGTACGCCTCAATTTTTTCATTGCGCCTCTAGACCTTCTTTGCGGTCGTGCGGGTCTTTAAAAAAACTCTGAAGGTCTTCCGTTTTCGCTACGCGGTCGTGCGGGTCTAAATGTAAACTCAGAAGGCCTTCAGATACCTTTACGCATATAGATGTCACCCCTCCTATGATTACTAAGTTTTCATGTATGTCAGTAAAAAAGTTGTTTTTGTCACATAGATTAACTTAAATGTTCTCAAAACGATTAAAAACCTGGCCAGTTTTTTCGCAACTAAATATTATTTACGAGGTCAGTATTCGAGAGCGATCGCTCCTGAGGCTGCGTTGTTTCAAAATATAATTTGAATTAAAGCTCATACTCAATTAAGATTGTAGACTTTATCTATGGAAAAAATTATCAGACATTGCTAATACAAAGATAACCTATCTAGATGAATTTGAAAAGAAATCTCAGCAGCTTTTATTGTTTACCAACTATAATATGCTTGATTTTAAACGGTTATTTTAAATAAAAGTAAACTCAAACATAAAAATTAAGACAAACTAAAACAAAAACACTTATTATCAAATCCTATATAACAAAATATATTAATGATATCAATGTAAGCAGTTTAGCAATTACAACCTGCTTTTTTATAAATAAAAACTTATATAAACTAATACTGTATTATCTGCTAGTTTATATATTTACGTTTTAATAATAAAATATATTGCTTCGGTCTATTTTTATGGCTTAGTTCTATTAAATCCTAATGAGGGTACAGCTTTAAAACTCAATTTTATGGTTCTCAGGCCGGCTGGTTGTCCGGTTTTCTGAACTCTGTGATAAGATAAGCTGATTCAATCAAATCAGATAAGCTGATTCCATCAACAGCTGAAAAATATCAGAGCACTAACAGTGCGCATGTTGCGCATGGATGGTGCCCCTGTTTGTAGTTTTGGTGTGCATTGCAGAGGCCATATTTGGAGCTCTTTGTTACGGCTTAGGGTTTATTGATAGTTATGAGGCAAATGCTTGGACAATTAAATAGCGTACTGAGTACTATCTATACTTGAGTCAAATTCTTTAAAAAGTTGAAAATTACTAAAGTATCAAAAACTATAAAAGACAAAAAACCATCGTCATCACCAAGTTCTCTAAACCTATCATTTACTAATATTTGTGGTCTTCGAAGTAACTTTTCTTCTATTGAGTCTTATCTCTTGCAAAGTTCACCAGATCTATTTGCTCTTTGTGAGACTAATTTGAGTTAGGATGTTTATCTTCCTTTAATTCGTAAAGACTCAAACAGTCACATGCTTGGCCTGGGCATTTACATTCGTATAAACTCACCCATTTTGTCATGAAATTAAATTTAAATCTACAGACTATTATTTTATATTCCTTCGTTTAGCACCACTTAACTCTGTCGCCTTTCTCTTTGTTCTATGTTGCATTTTTCTCGATGTTATTTCTGATTAAAGCCCCCTCTCTTTATCCATCAGCCAACATTGGTGACTTTAATGCCTATAACACAGATTGGCTTGGCTCAAGTGTCAGTGACTCTGCTGGCGTTAAGGCCCTCAACTTTTGCTTTTTGCAATGTCTAACTCAAATAGACAACTTTCCAACTCGCTTTCCAGACAACCCTAATCATTTATCTTCACTACTTGACCTATGTCTTGATTCTAATTCTAGTCAGTGCTCAGTTTCCCCACATTCACCCTTAAAAGCTTTTGATCACGGTTTGATCTCTCTAAAACTATTATCTAATCTTCTTCTTCATCAGAATCATTGTACCACATACAACTACCTTAAAGTTGGCTGGGACTCTTTCCGTGTTTTTCTTCGTGATGGCCCTTGGGTAGAAATCTTTCAACTTCCTGCAGACAAACGTGCTTCTTAAATAACTTTGTGGATTCAGTCTGGCATGGAATCTTTTATTCCCTCTCAACGATTCCAGATCAAGCGTCACTCTTCTCCATGGTTTCCCTCACATTGTGCTGCGGTAATTTCTAATCGAAACCGTTACTTCCATATTTATCAGCAAAACAATTCCCCAGACAACAGACATTTGTTTACTATTGCTAGAAAACTTTGTAAAAAATTTCATCACAAAACTTAAGCTCTCGTGATATCTGGAGATTCTTTAACAGTATCAATAATAAAAATCTGTTATTCCTCCTCTCTTGTATAGTTCAAACTTTGTCCCCTCACCTTAAAACAAAGCTGAATTGTTTTTTCATAGTACTTTTCATCAATAACATCTCTTGATTCCACTAGTTGCATTTTACCTAATATAGCCGTCAAATAGGTTGATTAATTGCATGACATTTGTACCACTCCAGCTTCTGTATCAAATGTTATTTCCTGCTTAGACTCTTTTTTTTTTTTTTATCATTATTTAATTTGCCGATTAATAATATTTACAATGAGAAAAAATTGTTTACATATGTAAAAATGCCCGGAGCAAGAAGAAGACATATTTTCTTATAGCCAAGCCCCGTTTACATAGAAGTTTAGCCAAGACATAGAAGTATAGCCAAGCCCCGTTTTACATAGAAGTATAGCCAAGCTCCGTTTACATACATAAAAACTTAAAACATAAAAATAGGTAACGTAAAAAATAAATATATATTTCTACAAAGATATTATAAAGTTAAAATAAGATATTAAAATTGCACAATTTTAAAGATCTATTTATTTTATTTTATAAACAAATTTCAAAAGAAACATTTAAAATCGAAGTTTATTCCTTATAAGAAACGTTTACATACTGTTTTGAGTTGTTCAAAAGAGATGTTTTTAAGAATGTTATTTTTAATAACTTTTTTAAAAAATTCATTCCATAGAAATGGTTCACGATATTGTATTTGGAATGAACTGAGTTTTAAATAGAATCTTGGAACTGCAAAGTTATCATTTGAAAAATTAGTGGGATACTTATGAGAAATTTAAGTAAAGTAAGAGTGAAACATATTAGGCGACAAACCATATTTGGATTTAAACATGAACAGCATAACTTGATATATATTAAGCTTATAAACATTGAGTGTATTGAGTTCCATTAAGAGAGGCTCTCCATGAGCAGTTTTTTTAACGCCAAAATTAATTCTGCACACCATTTTGTGTTTACTATAGATTTTTTTAAGCTTTCCCTAGTTGCTACTTCCCGATGCAATATTGCTATAGGTTAGATAACTATGGATAAATGAAAAGTATATAATTTTTAAAGACTTGATAATAAGAAATGGTTTAACTCTATATAGAACAGAAATATTTTTGAAATTTTATTTTCAATAGATTTTATATGAGATTTCCGTGATAAATTTTCATCTAATATTATTACCAGGAAATTTACATTTGATTCTCTTTTAATAACTGAAATATTCATAAAGAGATCGAGCAATTTAAGAGGGAGGTGATTCTTACAGGGTGACTCTTACAGGGTTTATGAAACAACAAGAATTTAGTTTTCAGTACATTTAATGAAAGTTTATTACAAGTGATCCAATCATTAAATTTTATTAGGTCTTCATTAAATATTTTGAAAAAATCTTTTATATTAACATTTGAGTTAAAAAGATTATAGTCGTCAGCAAACAAAATAAGATTTAAAGTTTTGGAAGCTTCAACAGCTTGCGATCCAGATTTTAATCTTTCAGAAGTGTTCTCCAGAGCTTTCATCCATACTTCCAAATTTATTTAACAAGTGCTTATTAGAGTCTTGTTTTCCAGCATGCTAAAACCCAGCATCTGTTATCCCTATTTTCGAAAATTCTGGAGAGCGATCTGATTCTTCCAACTACCGTTTCAATAGTCTTCTTCCTATCATAAGCAAGTTGTTTAAATAATTTTTAATAAAAAAACACTTAATCTTTCGTCTTAAATCAAATAATTTACTTTCTGATCATCAATATGGTTTTGATCTTCTCGTTCTACAGCTGATTTGCTAACAGCAATAACCAACAGGTGTTATTGTGCATTAGATAGAGGTGGAGAGGCTCATACCATTGTCACAACGTCAAGATGTTGCTTCTCTTTCTCTTTTCTACAAATTTTATAATAGGTACTGGTTTAAAGAGCTAGCGTTCCTTGTGCCATCTACTAAAATTTATTCTCGTGTTACACGTCATTCAAATAAGTCTCATCCTTTTTCTGTGAATATTCCTAAGTGCTTCAAAAACTCTTATCTGTCTAGTTTTTATCTTCGAACATCATTTATTTGTAATTCGCTTCCTTCATCTTTCTTCCCTGATTTATATAATTTGCAATCTTTTAAGTCATCTGTCTATCGTTATCTTGCTCTATAAACTTCATCTCTTCTCTTCCGGTAACTTCGAACTCTTATGGTGGTTGCTTGCAACCTTGTTGGAAGCGAAGCGAACACTTGTAAGTTATGATTTTATAAAAATTAATCTCGGTGATAAGACATTATGTCTTCTTCTTGCTCCAGCTATTTATTTAATTGTATATGTATGTATAGAAAACTGTTTTACTGGAAAACAAATAAAATATCTTTCTGTCTTTGACCCCTTCTACCCCCACTCTTTTTTCAATGTTTTGAAGCAAATTTTTATTAAAAATTTTAATAATTTTACTTAAATTTTATTTTTTTAGTTTAATAAAATATTTATCAAAAACTTTCGTATTATTTGCTAAAACTTTTTTTTTAATGCAATTTTAAAAAATGTATATTTTAGAGTACACCGAAGTGTTATCTTTGAAAAACTTTGAAGTAAAAAAAGGTGAAAAAGTTGCTACATTGTTGTTTCTATCTAAAAGTTTCAAAATTGATTTTGAATTTTGCTTTACAACTGTTGGTGAGAACAACAATCCTAAGAAGCACAGGACGGCCTTATTTCGCGTTGGACCATCAAGTCCTGATACTTGTGATTCAAAATGTGAACTTATGCAAATCTGTAAATCAAAATATTTATACGCATATTTTGAACACACGAAAAAAAAAGGAATAAATATGATACTTGGCAATTGCCTGACTGGGTATTACAAAGAAAACTATTTATCTGTTAATCCAGGATGTATGCAGTTCCAAATAACACAGTTTCCTGTTAATGGGACTTATTTGTCTACAATTAAAGTTAATAATGGACAGCTGTCTAAATTTCAAAACAAGCACCCAGAAGAATACCAGCTTGTTGATATATTATTTTCTGACGATGAATATGTTTCACAACATGGTGTAGTCACATATCTTAGTGTGTCTAATGCAGACTGTTGTAAGATAAACTTTTTTCTTTAGTTTTTTTTAGTCTTAAATTATTATTTAATGCTTTCTTTTATTTTATTTTTGAAACAGTTCAATTAAACGCTTGTAAGCTTAACGTGATTTTAGAATTTATGAGATTTTTTTAACAAAGCGCTTTTTTAACTTTTTCTAAACAAAACAAAAAAAAAGGCGAAAATGCAATATAAATTATTTTTTTAAAGGCATATTAACAAAGTAACTTATTAAATGACTATTAGAATAATTGGTAAAGATCAATAAATAATAAAATTATTTTGGTACACAAACACTAAAACGGAAATCACGTTTACGGAGCCGAATTTTGTGCTTAACTTCTATAGACGTTTTAAATTTTTTATTTAGGTAGCCTTAAAAAAACGTTTTTTAAAAGCATTTTTTTTCAAAAAAAACATAAATAAAGTTAAATTATTTTTGAAAAAAAGAATAGGTGAACTTCAATTTTGTACAACATTTATGTGTGGTTCGTAAATTTTGTCTTGAGTTTAATGATATTGAAAATAAGGTTGTTTTTCTTACATCAAATTAGTGTTAAAGATATGTTCATTTAGTTTGCACACCAATCCAAATACACATTTTTTAAAAAATGTTGCAGTTAGCCTAAAAAGTGTAGCGTTTTTGGTACCTAGTTATTGATTTTCGAAATTCGTTAAGGGGTATACTCCCCCATTTTTAAATATAGACAATAAATAACAACATTTGACATAAAATGATTATCCATATCATAAATGTAGAAAATTAAAAAAAAAAAAAAAAATTGGTCAACGGTTTCTGCAGTAACCGTAAAAAACCCCCAAAATAAGCAGAAAATAAGATTTGCGCTGGCCAAGTTTTAGCAAAAACTAATAAAAAAGGCTGAACAAAACTTTGGAAACACAATTAGAATAGGTTGTTGAGTGTTTTAAACGAAACAGATTTTTTTTAAAAAGTTTTGGGCCTGAAGACTTGCTAAAGTTAACAATAGAAAAAAGTGCATTTTTTGAAAAATTAAATTAGCTATACTGTTTTGTTCATAAGTATTTCAAAATTCTGTTCCGTTTAAAACACAGCTTTTATAAAAAAGAAAATATGTTGAAAATTTCAGATAAAACGCTTAAGCGGTTCTCTTGGAATTTTGGCCGGCATATTGAAAAACCTCGAACTGAGAAAACGCATAAAAATTGAAAATAAACAATAAAAGGTCTACAAATATACGTAACATTATATATTGGACTATATTTAATATTAAAAACCTCCTCCTTCATATGTTTTACTTTCTTTTTCAGAGGTTTTGTCACTTTTCTTCAGTTTTTTAGCCCTTAACTTTTGACGATGCAACTTGTTATGGGAGTTTAGTTTATAGATCGACGATTTAATGCGTGTTTTATTTATGTCGATAGAACCGTTTAGTGTATAAAAACCTGGAACCATGTTCAGTTTTTCATATATTAGAATTGAAGACTTCATCCCAATGTTAAAATTGGCAACAGCATCATAAACACCAAACTTCAGCAAAGTCAGCGAGACATATTTCGTTTTCGGTATGCGATCCCAAATTTTCCCATGTAAAGACTCATTTGCATTTTGCGTTTTACCGTGCAGACATTTTTTAAGCTCATCTTCTTTTGTGAGCTCTTCAAACACAGGTCTAATCTTGTATACAACCTCTAAAGGTAGACCAGGTCCTGGCTTGTAGGTGTTAGTGCTATTTGCTTTGTCTCTGTTAAATTTACACCAACTGCTTACACCTGTTGGACAATGTGGATAGTGCCAATTATTTGCTTTTGATGATGCAACGTGAAAAAGAGTAGCAAGCGCTGCTGATTTCATGGCAATTAAATTACCAGTATTCTGTCTAATTGCCACACCAAAGAAATTTTGCAATCGATCAATTGTTGCATCTGTCAATCTACCACGACCGCCCAGTCCCCTAACTTTTTTTTTCAAATTCCGGAGTCTGGTTCCAACACGCTTCTGATAGTGTCCAACACATTCTAATTTATTTACTTTAATATTAGGATAAACATCCTTGACACTATTGTAACTTTTGCTATCTCCATCACCTAAAAAGTTAATGTACTGCAACTTATGCTTTTTAATCGATTGCTGGAAAATACGACTGGCTCCTTCGCACTCCATTCCACCTGCAGAACCTACATAATTCATTTTACAAATGTGGGAATTTCTCCACTCGGCGTATGCATTAGGATTTTTTTCAGAAAGTTTTTGATTTAAGGAGCACCCTCTGCATACTCGACTCATCACCTCAACATCTAAAACTTTCCCACTGTCCATTGAAAGTGCTGCAAATAAACCATTCAATGAAGAAAATCCCCTACGTTGCCACGTGCCATCACATGATACACCAACATCAAGAATCTCATTATTGTCTTGACACTGTAGTCTTAAATCAGATACAGCATCAGCCATTGTTTCGTGTGCAACTTCCTCTATAATATTAGTAATTTTTAAAACAAGTTTGTTAGTTTTTTGGCGTCATTGGTTTTGGCATGTTCATGAGGGTTGTAAACCTTTCAATTCCGGAATGTCCTAATCCAAGAGTCCTCATTGTATATACTGTTCGATTGTTTATATCAAAGTTTCCTTTATTATTAACTAACTTAGAAGTGTAAAAGTTATTTTGATATTTACACTTTAAACAAATAATAGAAAGTTCACATGCAAGTCCTTGCTTTTTGCTTTTGTTTTCAATGATTGCTAAAGTCGTTTGGAAACAAGTCGGACAGCTCAAAACGCTAATAACATCAGACAAAATTGAACAATCAATAATTCTATATCCTGTCAGAACTTTGTTTTTAGTATTGGTATATTTTTGTGGAGATGAGCTAATGACTGCTTCAACTTTGCGAAGAGAAGAGCTTGGCGTATCAAAGATATCAGTTTGACTATTTACAGGTGATTCGATATTTACACTTAAAGAAGGAAAATTTACATTATTTACACTCACACTGCTACTTATCACTTTTTTATTAAAAATCTTCTTTCTTTTGCCTGCTCGCTTAGTTCTAACTTTAATTCGATCAGCCTTAACCATGTCTGAAAACTAAAAATTTAAAATTTCTGGGACAAAAAATAAGCTTCAAAACAACAAAACGAACTTTGTCTTCATATACCAAAAATAAAGTGCTAACAAGTCTAACAAGAAGCCAAAAATGCTTTTAACTTGTGAAATCAATACGTTGTATGGTTTACAAGTGATTTTTTTAGGGGTAAATAATTTTCTCTTTTTTGTACCTAACTCTCAAAAACAAAAAATTTTGGTATTTAGAGATATTTTTAGGTAAAACAATTAACATTTCTGAAACCCCCATATATTTAATTGTTTAAATCAGTTTTTTTTTTTTTTTTGATTTTTTAAAAATTTCTGGGGGAGTATACCCCTTAATGGCGAATGTGCGGGTTTCTCTAATTTGTTTTTAATTTAATAATATTTTAACTAGATATTTGTTGATTACTTTTTTATTCACAAGTTTATAGTTAAAAATTAAACTGTATATTTAAATAATGTATAACTTTATAATTATATCTTTAAAATATCTTACTTCATATTTAACTTTAAATTTGCAATAAAAACAATAAAAAAGTAAATTTTTAAATATATACATATATAATATATGTGTATATTCAGTAAATTTATGTATATATATATATATATATATATATATATATATATATATATATATATATATATATATATATATATATATATATATATATATATATATATATTATATATATATATATATATATATATATATATATATATATATATATATATATATATATATATATATATATATATATATATATATATATATATATATATATATATATATATATATATATATATATATATATATATATATATATATATATATATATATATATATATATATATATATATATATATATATATATATATATATATATATATATATATATATATATATATATATATATATATATATATATATATATATATAGGGGAAAGGCGCCTATGATGGCAAAGCGCCTATAACGGCATACCAGTCATATTTCTATAAAAATTGGCTTTGGTGAAAAAATGATTAGATCTAGATGACTATACTGACTTTACATTAGTTTTAGTAAAAATACGTCTCTTGTGCACAAATATTGTTTTTATAATCAGCAAAAATTGATTTACGCATGTTCTGTTGTAATTTTATTCCCTTCATATAATAAAGATTGTGATTTTATTATTGACTGTGAAGAAAAAAATTTTTTATTCATTTTATATCCTAGTTTTGTGCATTTAGTGGAATACTTACTTTAACTTTGTTTTTTAAATGAGGCAAACAAAGCTTGTCTTAATGAAAATGATGACTTTTTCCTATTACGGCATACTGACGAGTTGGGTGTCTTGCAATATTGGCGAGTTTGGGAAACCTTTTTTTTTATAAGAAAAACTTATTTTTAAGTAAATTAAAAAGAAAGCACTGCTCCAAAAGCTTTTTTTTGGTTTAAAAAAATGCATAAAACGCATATGCTGCTGAGTAACATGAAATGGTAAACTAGGTTAGTTCCGAATAATTTCTGGCTTTTCTGAGGGAAGAATCTAAAGTTAAACGAAATCATCTAGTTACCCTTGATCCTAGCCAGCCTATTCTCCCCTATGCCATAATAGGAGCAGTGGTTGCCTATGATGGCACACTTGAGCTTTTTTTAAAAATAGGAATAACTTAAAAAAAACAGAACTGATGAAAAATCCAAAGGATATTATTGTTCTACTTGTAACAAGGAATGCATCCATATTAAAATTTTAATTATTAGGCGTCAGGATACTGAATAATGAAGCTTCAAAGTTAAGTATGCCATCATAAACGCCTTTTCGCTATATATATATATATATATATATATATATATATATATATATATATATATATATATATATATATATATATATATATATATATATATATATATATATATATATATATATATATATATATATATATATATATATATATATATATATATATATATATATATATATATATATATATATATATATATATATATATAGTAACAGTTTTATTGTTTTCTTATATCTATTTGTTTTGGTATCTTTAAATATTTGCACAAGATACTTCTGCTGAATTTTTAAATAACATTAAAAATGATTTTTGAATAATGTATCCTCAGTATCATGAAGTAGTTGAATTTATTTCAGCTGAGGGTACTATTTTTGATCATGTTGAAGGTATATAGTTAGTAAAAACATTTTGAAAACAATTCATGTTTGTGAATATAATTCAGCTGCACTGTTTCCCAAAATATCATATATTGGGTGGACATTATCTGATAAATTAAAAATAAATAACAAGTTTATACCCTATTGATGACCAGCTTATTCACATAATTTAAAAATTTAAAAACAAAACAAGATATATTTTTCTCTTTTGATTACCGAGACTCTTACGAAGGAGGTATTAAGTGCAAGTTTTTACTATAAAGAAAGTTGTGAGTCTCTGGAAATGTTTCCCCATATTTTATGCAAGTTAAAATAGAATTAATAGAGCTTCTGATTTTCTTAATAGTTAAAATCATATAAATCATTAAAAAAATGTAGTCTTGTGGTCTATTTAATTGGTTAATAAAAAAAAGGAAAATTTCAAAAAGTAATTTTGCAAAAGCCAAAAAATGGATGTTAGAAAAAATAGAAAACTTTGAACAAGAGCGCTTGTACGGTAGGAGGAAAAAATCTCCTGGTAAAAAATCGCCCCCGGAAAAAATCCCTTAAGAAAAAATCCCCCCAAGAAAAAGTCCCCCGGGACAAAATCCCCCCGAGAAAAAAATCCCCCTGGAAATAATCCCCCCCCCCCCAAAAAAAAAAAAAAAAAAAAAATTTGTTTTAATAAAAATTTATCAATTAAGTAGTTACGAAACTTTTTTGCGAAACAAAAAATTATATTTTAAAAACCATTATTTTCATAATAAAAATAATAATTAAAAAAACTCTCCAATTCTAAATTTTAAAACATTATTTTAAAACATTATATATATATATGTATATATATATATATATATATATATATATATATATATATATATATATATATATATATATATATATATATATATATATATATATATATATATATATATATATATATATATATATATATATATATATATATATATATATATATATATATATATATATATATATATATATATATATATATATATATATACATATTCATACTGTATTCATCTAGTTTCACTTAGTTTCTTTTTATTTGTTTTTCAAATAATTTGTTCGCTTAAATATCCTTAAAATATACCGCTAAATTAACTACAAAAAAGTTCACATTTTACCAGTTCGCAGTTCGTCAGGGTTAGGGTTAGGATTTCACATTTGCTACCTTCGAGGAATAGCGCATAACTTGACATTTTGTTGAAAAATGAATTATTTTATTAAAATATTTAAAATAAATAAGGAAATAAAAATAGCTACATATTGATAATTTTGTTTTCTATATAGATGAGCTGCGCTACATATTGATAATTTTGTCTTCTATATAGATGAGCTGCGCAAAAAACAATTAAGTTTTTTGCGCAGCTCATCTATATAGAAGATCCACAAAAGATTGCAATTAATTAACACATCAAGATATTTAATAACTCTCGAGGGATATAGCTGTTCAACGTTGTTAGGGGCCATCCATAAAGGACGTCATCCACATAGGGGGGGAGGGGGTCGAGTTAATAAGGACAAAAAAGGACAAGGGGAGGGGGGAAGTTGTCAGAAAAGGACGTCACTTTATAGATTTTTTATTTTAGTTTAATTAACATGGAAAACTACGTAAACATGTGTTTTTAAGAAGATAATGTATGAGAATATTTTTAATTTTATTTTTCAAAGGTTTAGCAGCAGATTCAAACATAATTGCAAGATGAAATAAATTTTTTTGAAGTTAAAAATATGGGGGATTCAGGATTTTATGACGTCCCTTTCAAGGGAGGTGTAGGTAAAAAAAACAACTGGTGACAAAGGGGGGGGGGCGGGAGGTGGTCAAAAATTGGCTAAAAAATGGTGACGTCCTTTATGGATGGCCCCTTACAGTTTTTTCTATTGTTGTTACAGTTTTTTTTAGGAGATAAAAAAAAATTAGTTCAGTCTTTTCGGTGTTTAGGCATATTAGGTTGGCATTTAACCAATAAACTCTACCTTTAAGATCCAAATTTATATTTTTACATAGAGGATAGTATGACTTGTTGACATGCAAGTGATTGGTATCATCTGCAAATAGATGAATCGACGAGAAGTAAACAGTGTTGTTAAGATCATTATTGTAAGTTAAAAACAAAAGAGGACCAAGAACGGAACCTTGTGGAACACCACACGTAACGGGTATGTTACTAGAAATATAACCATTAATAATTACATATTGTAATTATTAATGTAATTATTAATTACAACTCCACGTATTCCTTAATGTTCTAACTTAGAAATCAAAATGCTATGATCAACGGTATCAAAAGCTTTTTGTAAAGCGAAAAAAACAATACAAGCAAAATGACCAGTATCAAGCAAAATGACTAGTATCTAGAGCTTTTCTAATTTTTTCAGTTATACCTCTCAGTGCGTGGCAGGTAAAATGGTTTGATCAAAAACCAAATTGAAACTCATTTAAAAAGATAAAAGAGTTTAGAAAAGAGTACACTCTTGAATACATTAATTTTTCAAGAAGCTTACTAATGTTAGATAATAGAGAAATAGGTCTATAGTTAGTACATAAAAGTTTAGAGCCATTTTTAAAATTAGGAATGATACAAGAAAACTTTAAAATATCATGAAAAGTTCCATTCATGAATGAGATATTAAATAGTTTCGAAAGAATATTTGAAAATTCGTTGTTAAAGTCAATAAGAATGTTTGTAGGAATACTGTTCGGACAAAATGATTCTCTTGGCTTTAATTTAGATATAAGAGATGAAAGAGAAAAGTAGACTATGTAAGTTTGGATATTTAAGATACTTTTGATAGTTGACGTAAGACGAATGAATATTGGATTTAAGTTTATGAGCAATAATTTTTCAGAGATTAGAATCGGCTCAGTTAAATATCTATCATTATCTTGTAAACAGTTGGGAGATGAGCTGTTATAATTTTTGACATTTATTAGATTATTAATGCCTTTTCAAATTTAGCGAAGATTTTTTATATTATCTGAAAATAAATTTTTAAAATGGGTTTTTTTGCTATGTTTAATTAAAGTAATTATCGTGAGTTTATATCGCTTAAAAGTAGTTTTAAATGTTTATATTTATTAAATCTTTTGATCTTAACATTTTTTAAGACTGCGTGTTTGAATAGATTTTATGGTTCCTTTTGTAATCAATGGTTTAAATCGACGTTTAAAGCTCTTACTGCCAGTCTTTTGAGTGGTGCATAGCGATCCAAAATTGATGTTGTTTCAGTAATAAACTCATGGAAACAAGAGTTAGTGATGTTCGTTTTTTACATTTTAATAGATTTATTTTTATTTTCAAATGTAAAATAGGCCACATGCCAGAAACGTTCAGACCTATGTTTTTGTACGATTTCAAATCAGTATAATATTTTTAATCATAATTAATCACAAAACATCATAACACCCTATTTAGGACCCTTAGCACTTGGTTTAGATTTTAAAAACAACTTTTTCTTTTAATATAAAATAAATACTATTAAATAAAAAAAGTTTCGTTTAATTGACACGACATGAAACCTTGTGATTGTCTCTCTGGTCCACTGTAAGGAGAAATTTAAAAAAAAAAAAATATAGCTCCAAAAAAAAAAGTAATAAAAAACAGGAAATTTAAACTCAAGACAAAAATTATTCAAATATACTTAAAATAGCATTAGGTTTAAATATCTTTAAAACTTTGATTTATTCTAATGTTTTTATGATATTAGGCAAACTCTTTTAAATAGAAATCTAATCATAAGATTATTCATAAAATTCTAATCATAATTCTAAAATTGTATTCAAACATGATCATAAATACAGAAATAATTTTAAATTGTCATTAAAACTTGTTACTTTATATAAAAGCTTTTAAAAATTTTTGTTAGTGTTTTGTAAACATTTTTATTAAGTGTTTTTTATATTATTAAAAGTGTATAAAAATATTTAATTAGAAAGTTTACAAAACAACATAAAAAAACATGTTTCCGACTTTATTAACTTTAAGAGTTTAAAAATAAAAAGTTTATTAAAACACATTGATATCGTCAAATTGTATAAAAACATTTACATTCGTTTTAAAAAAATTCTTTTGAAATAAATGTTTTGTTTAATTTTCTATGATAATTTATAAGATAGCGTTTTAAAACTCTATTTAAAATGCATTTAGTGTATTGTAAAAACATTTCATTACAAAGTTTACTGAGCATTATAAAAATTAAGTTTGCTATGATTTAAAGTAAAAAAAAACATTTACATTCATCATAAAAGTTATACTTCCGAACTATATAACATCTTTCGATAGTTTAAGTAAATACTTTTTCAGTGTACACAAACATTTAAAGCAATATCTCATTTTATTTCTTTATTCAAGCACAAATTTGAACCGATTATCTACATATATTTTAGGGCGGTTTATATATGTTTAACTTGATGTGACTGGTCTTAACAATGTTTAATATCTGAATAATGATAGTCTTATTATCTTATATTTATTTGATTTGACTTAACAATGTTTATCTCAATGTGAATAATGTATGTTTTTTTTTATGTGAATGGTTATGTTTGTTTATTATGATATATGGTGTAAATAATATATGTTTATTTTAAAGTAAATGTTCTAATAATATTTTGAAGTTTGTATAATGACTGGTCTAATACTATGTTGACTTTAATTTTACTAGTCACAACTACTTCAATAGATATAAAATTTTTTTACAATGTTTATGATTTAGGTACTTTAAGTGAATGGACATCATGGGGAAAATGTTCTTCTACATGTAAAAACGTTTTATCTGTACCACAACAAAAACGGATTCGAAAATGTTTAGACAGAGGTAGTAATTGCAAAGGAGAATTGATAGAGCAATTTCAAAATTGTAATGAATTGTTTTTTTGTACAGGTATAGTTATTTTAAGTTATTTTTCATTTTAGTTATCATACCAGCTATTCACAGACATACGATCGCACACTTTTATATGATCAAGCAAATTATATTTTGTTTGACGATTTGACCGCTGCTTTTAAAAAACATTTTAAAAACGCGCTGAATTAAAATTATTGTGAATTATACCTTAGGTAGAATAAACTGCGTCAAAACTTTTAACAAATTTTTTTTTTTTTAATTTTAATTCACCTCCTCAAGGCCGAGAAGGCCACTACAGACGAGGAAGCTACTTATTTGTGGTTGTAACCCTCTCTCAACTCTATAACTCCGAAACACGAACCTTGACGAACAAGGCTGCTGCGCGGTGAAACGAGTTGAGCGCGGTACTACCAGGGACGTGGTGGGGATCGAACTCAAAACCACTCGTTTATGAAGCGAGCGCTCTACCACTACACCACTACCGCAAATGTTTCTTTATTAGCAAAACGTTTTATTAAGAAACAATTTATTGATACAATTTATTAAAACTTATTTATAAAACTTATTAAAATTATTGATTAAAAATTAATTAATTTAAACAATTTATTGATATGAGGTTATTGATGATGAGAAAGAAACAATTTATTGATTAAGCTTTTTTTTAAAAGTATATTTGATATTTGTATATATTTTTTTAATTTTAATATATAAATTGTTTAGGTGTGCATTTTTTATTTATAAAAAATGTTTTTAAATTTAAATAAAAAATATTTTTAAATTTATTACCTTTAACTATTCTTATATTAAATTCGTTACGCTGCACTTCAAAGAACAGTTGAGAATACCCCGTAACTGAAAAATGCTTTTCTTAAAGCCTGCTCACTTACTACCAGGCTTCATAAATCGACAGCCTTCAGTATTTCGTTAAAAGATGCTTATTCCAGGTTAGATGTGAGTTACCTCAAACTACCCTCCACAGTAACCACGAGAGAGAACAGCCATTACGATATGCTGCACGCCATGCTTCGACTGAAGGTTCCACCTATATACTTACGCAATACAGAAGGCGATGATTGGAAGAAAACCGTACCTACAGATGAACAATTCCTACTCTTTGAAGCTATTGTTCCAGTGCTTCAATCTGTTAATGAGTCATCAGTTTTTTAATCTTCTGACACAGAGATCCGAACTGGCATGTCACTTTGGAAAGTAACAGCACTTATCAACTTCATCGAGAAAAAAAGAAATAATTATATTACTCATGAAAACAATAAATTAGTAGAAAAATTCTGGGAGGACTTATTATCAGAACTAAATAAGAGATTCCCAGACAAAGGCCGTAAGTTACCCGCATTTGCACAAGGACATTACCTTCACCCATTTTTCCGTGGACATCTTCTTGATGTTGGCAATGAAAATATTCAAAAACTGGTTGAAAAACATCCCACAACCGAAATATGCTTTGAGAATTTTATATTGTTTGTCTCAAGCTTCAGTAATAACAACGGTAATAACAATTCCGTTACTGATAATGCACAAGGTTGGGAGGAAAATGAATAAATTTTATTTTAGCAAAGTATAAGGAAGATAATAATTGTCATCATATACACAAAAGCCCTCCTATTACACTGATAATGGAAAAATACCAAAAAAAAGTTAGATCCAAAAATGCAGATAAAATCAACACCTTAGCATCGTGGAAGCAGCGGAACTTCCTATCCGTTCAGGTGTTGCAAGATTTTTGTTGGCCACTCCACCATCATCTGCATTGTCTGTAAGAGCATTTTCTGCTTCTGGTCTTGTCATCTCTGATTGTAGATGCAATCTCGACAGTGACAAGGCAGATAAGCTTGTATTTATTATGCAGAACTATTCCGCTCTTGAAAATTATATCAGTAAATGGCCCGTCGAACAAGAAAATAAAAACGAAAGTGGTATGGAACATGAATTAGACTTATATTTGCTAATATTAATAATAATAGAAAATGGTAAAATACCAACGAAAGTACGGCAAAGGAAAAGACAACGAATCGAAGATTGCTTAAGTATTGCAGGTTATTAAAAAACAATAACTAAATCTCTAAAAAGCAATTGTACTTCTATTTTGTTAATAAAAAATTTAATGAGTCATATTTTAATTTTTTGTTTTTTTGTTTTATTGAGAGTCTTAATTTGAGACCATGCAATATTATACGATTCTTTTTATTATCGGTATCGTTTGGTATCCAAGCAATACTGAGAGTATCGACATTGGAACATAAGCGATACCACACAATGCAAGTTCATCCTTCTCGGTATCTTATATAAGCGATACCACGCAATACGAGACCATTCTTCTCGGTATCGACTTACGCGATACCAATTATCTAGTGTCTAGTCAAAAGCTGTGGTCAAATTGTTAAAACAAATTAGTCTTTGCGTCGTCATATAACTGAGTACGATCGCACATCTTCCTGTGAAAGACTGCATATAAATTTTTTTTTTAATTATTTGAACTTTAAAATGCTTTAGTTTTTATCGATTAATTTTTATGGTCATCTCTAATCATCTTTTAACCCTCTTCCTGTTTTTGTTACAAATTTGCAACAAATGAATTGGTGATAAATATTTTAGTAATAAAACTCATCTACAATAAAAGATATGTTGAAACATGTATTTTAGACCTTTATTTACTATTTTTATGCAACTAATATACGAGAGTTTTTTGGTTGCACCACAACTTAGGTGTAGCCTAAGTTGTGGTGCTGAATATGTAATACTACGACTAGTGCAAGAAATGCACAGCATATAAGCATAAAAAATTCTGTATTTTTTTTGACAACTGGTTTTCTACTTAACAATTACTCAATGAACTGAAAACAATAGGAACATTTGCAACAGGAACTTTTCGTAATAATCGAATTAGAAAAGGTCCACTTTTATCAGAAAAAGAACTAAAATCTTAAAGAAGAGGATCTTGGGACTATCGAGTAGATCAGAATTCAGAAATACATTTAGTAAAATGGTTTGACAACAAAGCTATTACTCTTGGATAAACGTATGCAGGTGTCGCCAGATCCACAAAAGTCAAGAGGTTTGACTGTAAAAAGGAGGTACATGTTAATGCCACAGCTCCTGACATTGTTCAAGAATATAACGTGTCAATAGGTGGTGTAGATCTGGCAGACATGCTAATATTATTATACCGAGCGAGAATCAGTACTAAGAAGCGTTGGTACTTAAAATTAATTTTTCACTGCATTGACATATCAAAACATAATGCGTGGTTTTTATACAGAAGGCATTGTTCTCAATTTAAAGTGCCTAAAAAGAAACAACTATTCATGAGAATATTTATTTCACAGATAGCAACAGTATTGAATTTTAAAAACAAAGATCCTGAAAATAAAATTGGTCGTCTCAAAAGAAGTATTTCACCTGCTAAAAACTTTGGAAGAAAACCATCTAATCCAAAACCAATTTGTGATATACGATACGATGGATTTTGTCACTGGCCAGAAATCAAGAAAAAGGGAAAGATGCAGAATAAGTAACATGACCTGTTCTTTTGCTAGCTCAAAATATAAAATAAAGCTTTACTTGAACAAGGATAGAAACTGCTTTAAAGACTTCCATGTACGATAAAGTCAGAAAACACATAATGTAATATTTTCAAAGGAATTTGTTTTAAAACTACAGCAGTTTATTATATCTTTAATTATCTCGTTAACAAACTAAAAATACTTCAATCGTCTGTTTTTTTCCCAAAATGGTTATTTTCAAAACCTATTTTCGACAAAGTTGCAAATTTGCAACAAATGATAAAACGGTAACATTTATATATAATAAAAAAATTATATCTTTTTTTTAGAACATATAGTCACACTTTTGCAGAAATTTTATAAAATATTCTTTTTCAGCATTTTGATCATAATGTGCCGGTTAGAGGGTTAATCAAAAAAATAAAAAGAAATTGATTAAAAAAGTGATTTAGAAAAATTGATTAAAACAGATTAAAATAAAAGAAATTGATTAAAAATTAAAAATTGTTTAAAAAAGTGATTTTAAAAAATTGACAAAAATTGATTATAAAAGTGTTAAAATCATTTTGTTTATGAAGAAATCTGAACCTTAAATAATGTTTATTAAATCTTATAGTCATTAAGTATAACAAATTAAATAATTTTTAGATTTTTCAACTTTTAAAAGTGCAATCTTAAGTCCTTAATATAAGGAAGGGCATTAATTAATTTTAGGAAAATTTTCCTATTGCCCTTACTTTATTGAGACCCCCACCCCATCATGTTTAACTTTTTTTACAATTAAAAAAAAAAATTATCAAAAGGCGAACATGCGTGATTTATTCATTTTTTTTAGTTAACATTTCAAAATATGTGTCATTTTCAGATAAAATGTTATTAGATTTTTATTTATGATAGTATCTATCAGAATGCCCATTTTTCATAACAAAATTAGCAGAAAAGCTATTCCTTGCATCTTGTCACAAATAATTGGATCAGATGATATCCACATACAGTTAATGGTGTCAGTTAAATTGAAAATTTGGGAGTTTTTTTCTAGATACTCGAGTACGTAAGGATCGTACTATTTTGTTATTACCTTCTTACCCTGACTCATCAAGATTTCCCAAACCACTCTCCTCATTATTCAATATAAGGTCCAATATATGAGCAATTAATTTGTGCAGTTATGGTGTTATACTGATCCATAGTTAAGAAAAATTTGTTTTTGTAACAGGCGGAAACTCGCGAAAAAATCTATACAAAAGCTTTTTTATTGATCTGCATCAACTTTTTTTTTTGGATGAATATACTTGAAGAATTAATGCAAATATCAAACCAAAATTTTGAAATGTTGCATGATGTTAAACAGGCAGTTGTGCTATAATAAATTTCTGTTATATTTTTTGTGCAATAGTTTTCTTGTTATATTGCCTATTGTTGTTGTTTTCGCTTTTCCATTTGTATTGCGATAATCCCATTTTATATATTTTTTAAAAACCTCTTATTGTAATAAATTGTTTGCTTGCTTCAGAA